AGGATATGTCCCACGTATTTGGCCGCTTGCCCGAACATGCGACATTTTATGTGGTTTGAGGTACAGGACAACTTCCACAAACCCATGAAAGATTTGTCCAAGACTGTTTTCTAACTTGTGTCCAAAGATTACTATGTCGTTAAGGTGCACCATGTGTATGTGCCACTGAAATATTGGCAGAACGCTTTATCACGGTATTTTCAACGTTCTGGGTGCATTACATATCCCGAATTGCATAACATTGACCTGAGTCGTTGTCTGGGTCATGGTCTAATTCGTCGACTGAGTCGTTTTCTAAATCGAAGACTTGATCGTGGTCAAGGTTAGTGCTCCTTCGCAATTGACAGCGAGATGAGCAGATACGAAGAAACAAAAGATTACTATTCACTAATATTATTTTTTGGCAAATACTGGTAAACAAGATTTCAGTTCGTCCTTGAGTTGGTCGAGAAAAGACCTAATCATTTTATCTTTCAATATCTGTAGTATGGCATTGTTCTTTTCGATGGTCTACGACCAAATGCTAATTGTCATGCTGTGTGGCTGGCAGTTTTACTAAAAAAAGACGTCTTTTCTTTAAATCTCGTTTATTCAACATCATCACTGCCACAATTGGCTCGAAGTTAAGACATCCAGTAATAAAAAATAAAACAAAAAAGTGCCCTTCAATTCTTTTTTTGTGTGCTAAAATCCCATCACATAACGACATAAATTTAGCATTTAATGTAAAACCACTGCATATAATGCCTATACCACCGAATGTGATATTAAAACTACCGCATCTAATAGCAAACGCACCCGCTATAATGACACGTCTACCTCATATATTAAAAAGCACAATATATAATGAAAGAGGATTGACAATAAGACAAAACACTGAATATAATATTGAATGACCACATAACAGTGCATATACACATAGGTCTATATCTGATAAGCATTCCTATCAACTTTCTATAAAAATTTGTTTTATGTTTCTTTCTATTCTTTCAACCAGTTATATAAATTTGGTGACCTTTGTAGGAAATGTTGTTCATGTTTAGTTTGCTTTATTTGTTCAAAATCAATGTGAGAGAGCCACTAGTCGTCGTTATTTGTTCTTTTAGAATTGTTTGTTAACTTTTGACTTAAGTCATATTGTAACATTTCATTTGGAAGAAGAATTCTCAGTTGTGTTACTCAAGTTATTGATAGATCTGAAATTTAAATATCACTTGCATATTTTGACGGTAAACAATTAATCGACTGATGCAATCTTAGACACAGAAGAAGTGAAATCAAGTAATAAATAATCAAGTAATCTATATTAAGTTCCTTGCTGAGGACTGTTCATTTCTGACTTTATCTAAGATCACAGAAGCAGAGACATTTAATTGGCCCCTCCGTCTATTCCAATTTCTTATTTTTTTCGTATCTTCATAAGGAAATAAAACAGGAGACAATACATGAATCTAAAATAACATTAATGGCTGGCCATAACATTCATTTGCGTGGTCTGATGGTTTCTTGAGAATGTTTGCTGATATTTTAGTCAATAAGAAGGAAAAGACTTGGCACTGAGAGCAAAGCGTTGTATTGGGAGCAATATATGTTAAATGGCATTTGGAGTAATTAAGTTCTTGAATAATGTCCTTAAACTTCATAAAGAAAGCAGCTACATTAATAAATCGCCGTTCTACCGTGTGTTACCTCATCTGTTTATAAATATCACCTCTACGGTGTGCCTCTTCATTTGTTTATAAATCGCATTTCATCCGTGTGCTACTTCATTTGTTTATAAATCGCATTTCATCCGTGTGCTACTTTATTTGCTTATAAATCGCATTTCATCCGTGTGCTACTTCATTTGCTTATAAATCGCATTTCATCCGTCTGCAACTTCATCTGTTTATAAATCGCCACTCTACCATGTGCTACCTCATTTATTTATAAGTCCCTCATATACCACGTGCCACAGCAATCTATAAATATCTCCTCCGCCACGTGCTACCTCGTCTATTTATAAATCTCTTGCCTTCCAGTTGTTACCGTGAGCTATTGACAAATCGCTCCTTTACCATGTGTTAAGTAGTCTAATTATTAATCGCTTGTGCACCATGTTTCCCTCAATCTATTTATAAATCGCTTTTCTACCTCGTCTATTAATAAATTGCACCTCTAGTGTGTGCTTCCTCAATCTATCTATAAGTTTCTACTCTACCATGTGATACATCGTCGATGGATAAATCGCTCGTCTACCAAGTGCTACCTGGTCTATTTATAACATGTTCGTCTATCCGTGCTGCCTCGTCTATTTAATGGTCCAAAGCTGTTAACAACCAGTCTAGATTACTCAGCGGATTACCAATATAGTCTAACTCATGCATCCAGGTATTATCAAAAAGGTCTATCTTATCCATGGATTATCAATATAGCCCTAATTATCCAAGGATTATGAATATAGTCTGATTTATGCAAGGATTATCATTATAGTTTAACGTATCCATGGATTATCAATATAGTATGATCTATCAAGGGATTATGTAGTCTAATTTACCCAGGGATATTCAATATAGTCTAACATACGCAGGGACTATCAGTATAGTTTAACGTATCCAGAGATTATCAATATATTCTAATTTATCCAGAGATTAACAGTATAGTTTGACGTATCCAGGGATTATCAATGATTCAATATAGTCTAACTTATCCAGGGATTATCAGTATAGTTTCAAGTATCCAGACATTATTAGTACAGTCTAACTTATCCAGGGATTATAAATATAGTCTAACTTATCAAGGGATTATCAGCATAGTTTAACCTATTCTAGGATTATCAATATAGTCTAACTTATCCAGGGATTATCAGCATATTTTAACGTATCCATGGATTATCAATATAGTCTGACCTATCAAGGGATTATCAATATAGTCTAATTTATCCAGGGATTATCAGTATAGTTTAAAGAATACAGGGATTATCAATATAGTTTAATTTATCCAGGGATTATCAATATAATCTGACCTATCCAGAGATTATCAATATAGTCTAACTTATCCAGGGATTATCAGTAAAGTTTAACCTATCCCAGGATTATCTATATAGCCTAACCTATCCAGGGATTATCAGTATAGCTTTACGTGTCCAGGGATTATCAATATATTTTAACTTATCGAAGGATTATCAATATAGTCTAACGTATCCAGGGATAATGGGTATAGTCTAACTTATCCAGGGATTATCTATAAAGTCTAGTTTACTCTGCGATTATTAATATAGTCCAACCTATCCATAGATTATCAATAGAATCTAACGTATCCAGGGATTATCAATATAATTTGTTCTATCCATTTATTATCAATATAGTCTAGTTTACTCAGTGATTATCAATATAGTCTAATCTATCCAGGGAATATCAGTATAATTTAACTTATCCATGGATTATCAATATAGTCTAACTTATCCAGGGATTATCAATATAGTCTGACTTATCCAGGGATTATCAATATAGTCTGACTTATCTAGGGATTATCAATATAGTCTAACTTATCCAGGGATTATCAATATAGTCTGACTTATCTAGGGATTATCAATATAGTCTAACTTATCCAGGGATTATCAATATAGTCTGACTTATCCAGGGATTATCAATATAGTATAACTTGCCCAATGACTAATTCAAGTTGCAGAAGGGGATTGTATCACCTTTGACTAAGTATTGTTTGGCTTGTGTTGTTTCATTGATCATTATATGCGGAATCAGACTTCAGACAATGTTAGGGAGGTGGTAGGCTTCGATAGCTGGTGAAGTATTGAGTTGTGTTGCGTAACTGCTTATTGCTTTGTTTAACGCATTTACAGTATCTGATTCGAAAATAATCCTCAAAAGCGATATTACAAGTCCAAACGAATAGAGAGTTCCGAATGAACTCTTCCAAAACTCCAAACGAATAGTTTTCCGAATGAATTCTTTCAGGTCCCGAATATTCTGATACACCAAGATCCTTGAAACATATTAAGTGCCAACAGTCTTGATGTATCACAATGTCATTGTCCCGAACATCTTTAAACAAATTCACCATAATTATAAAATAATAATTCAACCAAAGTCAATGAATATTTGATAATGCCAATGAATAAGCCAAACAAATATGTCCTCTCAGATTATATCCAAACACAACATCAACCATATATGAAGACCTATAAAACAGGGACATAGGAGACATCAATATGCTGCATCTTACTTATTCAGTCTCATACATGCTTTACAGCTCTACGTCACAATCTGTTGATGCTCAGTCTATGTCGCAATAAATCCCACTTGACATGTTTAACAATAAATCGAAACGGAACCCGTCTAACTAAATCATTCAATGAGAATTAACACAAACTCTTCAATATGTTAACTATTATGAGTTTAAAACTTGTAGGCACACATTTATAGCTTAATTGCAATCTACAGCCATGCACAAAAAATTAAAGACACTATATATCTACTTAACAACTTAAGGAAATGGACTTCTTCTTTTTGAATTTTCTTTAGTATGCAGAAATAAGAAGTAAGGAGTGTGGACTATGTTTTTATAATTTTATGTGTGCAGAAAAAAGAAGTAAGGAATGTGGGTAATGCTTTTTATTTCTTTTGGATGTTGAAATAAGGAAAAGTAAAGAATGATGGATAACGTTTTAAAAATTTGTTAGTATGCCGAAATTAGGAGAAAAAACAATGTTGGCTAATGTTTTATAATTTGTTCTACAGAAGAATGGAGAACAAAATTGTGATGTGATGTGAGTATAATTTTGAACGTAGCTTTAACTGTTTTTCAGTTATATCATTACGATGTCTGCATTTTGGCTGTTTATAGTGATGTCTAACAATGGGGCATCTTGTAGACATGTAGCATGATGTTACACCCAGTCACATTATCCTGACACCAGGCCGACCAGTCCTAACACTAACCTCCTAATGCTGAGCGCCAAGCGAGGCAGCTATTAGTACCATTTTTGTAAGTCTTTGATATGACTCGACCAAGGATTAAACATCGACCTTCCGCATCCGAGGCGGACGTTCTAACCACTAGGCCACCGGAGCGGTCAGAACGAAAGTGAGATAATATTTTTTGTTTTTGGGATGCAGAAATAATAAGTAAGTAAAGTTGGCTAATGCTTTATATTTTTGTATGTAGAAATAACTTTAAGTAAGGAATTCTTTCTAATGCTTTATAATTATTTGTATGCAAATTTAAGATGTAAGATAAGTGGGAGTAGTCTTTTTCATGCAATATTAGCAATTTATAAGACAATTTCGCTAATAGTTTGTTATTTTTCTCAGCAGTAAGGTAAACGGTCTATGACGATGCCATAAATCTCCCATCTACAACAAACTTTACGATGGTCGAAAATCTTAATTAGCATGTTAACTGATGCAAAGGGTACGTACACCGTTAATAATTTTGATGAAGCAGATTAATTTTACTTTGGTTCAATCATGGCGCGATTTTTTTTTCACGAAAGCCAAATTACACTGCTTACGAAGTTTCGTTCTATTATGGTTACGGTAAACACAACGATAGGGGATACGAGTAAACATACAAAGAAACTGAACGAATAAAACGAAAATAATAAGTCAATGTCATAACAAATATATAAAAATCATTTTATTTTAACAAAACGCTTACTTTTAAATATACTAGGTATGCACCGTTCTCTAAAATTCACTATGCAAATGTATCTACTAACACACAGGCTTACAAATTACTTTCCGCACTCGTGTAACTATATTAGTAATCTCTGAATTTATCCCATTGTGAGACAAAAATACTTAATTAATGAGATATATAACAGCATCACAATGACTGAAATACAAGTGATTGCTGTGAAATCAGAATGGTTTCCTTCGATAATGAAATGTGATATGAATGGCACTCTTTAGTGTTTATGTGACGAGAGGGTTCCTACGGTCACAATTATCCCTTTGTAATACTAATGACTATACGGTTTAGTACGGTAGGTAAATATTACTTTTTACGGCAATCATTTAAAACAATATGATGATTAATAATAAAAAAGCTGACATTCTGAAATCTGTTCTTGGGTCAAAACATCGCTGTTGTAAAATTATAAAATATTCATTAAAACATATAGTAATGCAATACTGAGACATTAGTGGCAACGTAGACATCGAGTGGGGAAATTACTATTACATGCACCACAAGTTCAAAACGCCGTCACCATGGAACCGAATATATTTACAATAAAATGATCGAGTAACTGCTTACGCATTTAATCTGTTTCATCAAACTTATTTCTTAAAAGTATTCTTGAGAATAAACTAGGCACTTATGATTGGGAATAAATCATGAGCTTCTTCATAAATCTATCAGCACCCTCCTCGTTCTTGAAAATTTCACTTGACTCAAGACAGGAATAATCAATTTCGATTATCGCGCATTTCAGTCAGATACATACAGATGCCTTGCAAAACATTTGATTATCAAATAAAAACTTTTAAAATGTTTAAAAAATGAAATGATTTTTTTCCACAGAAGCAGTGAACGGATTTCAATAGCAATCATTCCCAGCGAATGCGTGTCACGTATTATTGAAATGAAAATTTCAATCATGTAAAAGCCAATCACAATAATTGAATTTGTCCTTCATATGTTCAAATTAGAAGAGACTATTATCTCAGCTGTTGAGAATATATGTAACGTGTCTTGTAACAACAATGATGACAGATGAAGATTTAAAATAACATACATTTGTGCCATTGACAGCCTAAAACGAAAGTTAATGATTTTAAATTGTATCTATAAAGTTATATCGATACAAACACCGTGGAACTTAAAACAATTATTAATTGTATTATCTCCGACAGGATCCGGGTGGACTCTAATTTCTTATCCACGACAGTCATTATTTTGCAATTGTGTCATATGGAGGGAGCCTCCGTTGGTGTAGACATATGGCCCTCTATAATTTCCCTATTTATATCCAAATAGATTTTTTCAATATCGTTATTGTGTGTATTATATGCAGACATTTGTCCCATTAAAAATGATATAAAAGTAACATGCAGCAAATGTAAACTAATTACTACTTCAATACAAATGTAACAGGAACTATTAGTCACTTCAAGAGCTAACTACATGTGAAAATATTTTAAATGCCATTTGGTTATCTATGTTAGATAGAAGGTACTGAGCATTTCTAATGTATGAAAATATGAATTTCGATAACATAAAGAAAAAAATCGTGTATTACGTCAGAGACCTAAATATTTATGTGAGGTTCCTGCTAAACTGAAATAAATAATAATCTGTTTCGTACATGTAAAAATTGGATAAATGTTATTTCTATTATAACGAGTGCCTCAGAAAACAAAAAGACAAAATATAAAACTTACATATTGCAAATAATTAATGTTATGAAATAAAACTCAACAACGCAAATTTTATAATATAGTAAACGAAAATAGCTGATATAATCTACATCCACACACGATTCATGAACCTAAATACACTTAAGAGAGCCAAACAGTTGGCAAACCAATTTAACCTGAAAAGATCATTTAACAGTATACATTATTTCATTTAAAGTATAATTAGAAAATTAAATTCATCAAATGGAAATATATTAACTCTTAGATTTAAACTGTTAGATTTGACCAATTTTAAATTATGTCAGTTTCATTCAAAATGTATTTGAAAAAAAGCACATTTGAAACAGTATCATTTTCGCTTAACTATCTTGTAACAGCAACCATGTCGATACTCAAAATACGTCATTTGAATAAAATATCTGTCTTTGTGACAACAATTGTACTTTTTTGCAAAACAAAGTTCTTTGTCGATGTCCACATAAACAGTACGTTATTTGTATAACATATCAATGTCTATACCAAGCAAAGATCTATTCGTGATTTGCGTAAAATGTCGGTGTTGATGCCCACAAAAATGTACGTTTACTTTTGGGATAAAAGATCTGTGTAGACGACCACAAAAGCTTGTGTAATTTGGATAAAATATACATTTGGCAATGCCCAACAAGATGTTGAACGTGATTTGAATAAAATGTCTCTGTCGATGACAAAAAGCTGTACGTTATATAGATATATTAGATGTGTTAGTATATTGGCATAAAGAATAAATCTACATGATCATTATCATCGCAATACTGAAGAAAATTAATTATGCCTGAATAAAATAATTTCTTTCCGCAAAGATTTGACAGGATAATTGCCTGAAAGGTGCAAATACTTATTATTTGTATCGATCAGTCCATCATGAAGGAAACATAAGCTAGTTTAATACCCTCACCAATGTGTTACAGGCATGATAAAAAGAAACAGGGCATGGAAAAATAGATTTACAATGTGATTCAGTAGAATATTATTTTAAATAAAGTGTCAATCGATTCAAATGATATACGGTATTTTTCTATAAGAATAGAACTTTGTGATGATGAGGTCATTTGTATTTACAGTAAATGAAACTATATGATGGATGGCTCATAAGTATCTGCAGTAGTATCTCTATGTATGTATGTATGTATGTATGTATGTATGTATGTATGTATGTATGTATGTATGTATGTATGTATGTATGTATGTATATATATATATATATATATATATATATATATATATATATATATATATATATATAATTGATGAATAAAATATCAACACTTAAAAAGTCGTAACAGCATGAGATAAATGATGTTGATTTTTTCACATGTCCATAACAATAGTGTCCTGACAAAGGACAAAATGAAGCCATAGCGAGGACATCCTCACGTTCAACGATTGATCTAATGATGGGTGATACATGAACACGCAATGCGGAATTTATTGAATATTGCTCACAACACGTCACTACAGGTCTCCTTGTATCATACTATGGAAACTTTCTGTAATCTTGGAGTTCTAACTGGACGGGGATGCTTATTGTCTACATGTTCCTGAGAATGATGATTAGGTCTATTGTCAACTTCCTCTGAAGAAGGCTGTGGTAATATCTGGTCAGTGTGATCAAGCTTCTGATCGACACTGAGTAATCTGTCTGTTGTATTGCTACCTGAAGTATTTGCCGCAACGTAGCGTACCTCCACATGATCATGATCAGGAGAATGCCTGTCTCTTGTCCGAAACTTTCTCCTATGGTAAACACCGCATATGAGTAAGACCACACAGAAAAATACTGATATCGATGTCCCAATAGCTATGTGAAGAATCTGTGCTCCAGCTTGTTTCGGACCTGTTATATATAATTTAAATAAATAGATAAACGTACGATCAAATTCACATGTCAAAGATCTATAAAGTATTTAAATGTCCATTCTCATATGACAAAATGGAGTTTAGCAATTAAAAATATACTAAGTTTAAAGCATGACAGTAAAAAACCAATAAAATACAATATATGAGATGCTTCTCTGATAATTAAAAATATTGAAATTTCTAAGGAAGAAAATACTTGAAAATTGTATACAGATGTGAAAGAAATCAAGAATGTCTTTTCTTATTTAAATGTCAGTTTTAACCAGCCGTTACAACATTTTCATTATTTAAGCCAATACCTTTAATTTTCTTAACTGATTTTATTTTCTTGAAATGTTGTAAAAAAATATGTATTTTCTACCACTGACATTTTAACAATTAATCTCTTAAAACTTTCAAAGTAAAGGGTGGATTGCGAACGGTCTTTTAAAGTAAACCTGAGAAATCAGCTCTTTATGTACTCAATGATAATACATGTAAACATTCGACATTTAAATAGTGCAGAAAGATAACAGTAATCAACACAATTTTGAAATTTGCGAATGAGTAGCATTTTATATCAATCGAGGTTTCTGACTTGACAAAAGAAAAACGAGAAGTTAGTACATAAATAGTGCTTTGAGATAAGAAAAATGGTTTGGGCTGAGTTAACGCCATGCAAATAATATTGAATTCATTGGCTCGTTACAGTTATGCATGTGCCCCTACTTAGCTGGTATTTGCATGCACATGCATCACATAATACATGCTCTATATGAAATTATAACTATTTCACGATTTATTTTTCTTGTACGTAATGCTACCAGAATCGCGAAC